CGGCGGCGGCGGCGGCGACGCGGGGAGGGGGAGGAGGGAGGAAGCCTGGATCTGCAGCGGCAGCGAGCGCGGGAGTCGGGAGGAGGAAGCTGGAGCGCCGGAGCCGCCGCTGCCAGAGCCGCCGTTCGCTACCCGCGCAGGGTCCCCGTCAATGCCCCTTTCTCTCTCCTATTGTCAATATCACCGGGCGGCTGAGTCCATGGCACACGCGCAACCGAACCTCCTGGCTGGCAGAGCCCGCCTCCGACGCCCGCCCACTGGAGACTTCAAACGGGAAGCGAGACCTCATTGGTCCGCGAGCGCCTTCACTCCCCGGCCAGCATGTTCGGCTGAGATCTAATCGGGGATTGGCGGCGCGGGGAGGGGCGGAGAAACAGGAGGGGTGTGAAGAGACGAGGCCCTCGATTGGGCGAGGCACCGGGGACCCGGATGCAGCCGCGAGCTCGGGCGGCTCAGTCGCGGCTTCCGCCAGGGCGTCTGAACTGGGGAACTGCGGCGTCTCTTGGGCCTGAGAGGAGCGCCGCGGGCGCGTCCCGGACCTGGAGCTTCCGCACGGCGGGACCCTGTGGACGGCGAGCGTCTTCACTGGGGGTTATTAGGGCTCCAGTGCGGCAGCCCCGGTGCCTCACGGTTCAGCCCGCAGAACCCCACTCGGCACGGACCCCGCGCTCCCCTGTGCCATTCGTGTCATCGCGGCGCTGGAAGCCGGCCGAAAACACCCCAGTGGCCTGCGCTCAGTCGCGGGGAGGCCTGGCCACGGGTTGGTTTCTCACCTGGTCTCAGCTCCCCCGCAAAAAAAATCGTTCTGATTATCAGCTCCTTGATTCTCCTGCCGTTCTCGGTAGAGGCCAGCGCTCCGGTAGCTTCTGCAGATGGGAGCGCTGTCACCAGACTGCAGCCTCACAACCCGCATTCACTGTTTCTGGGCTCCGAAATACCCAGCCCCCAACTTGACAGATTTTAATTGACAGTTTGAGCCTTGAGTTTATAGAAATGACTTACCTTTATCTAGAACGAGTACTAAAATACTTCTTACATATGTGGTTTTGCATCGTTGGTGAACCCTAGGCCAAATGGTACATTTCCAGAGGATATTCTTAGATTGTCAGTCAATTTGAATGCAAGCTGCATTTGTTATGGGGGGGGGGGGGGAATCCTTAATAACTAACTACAAGCATCAAACTACCAGTTGCTCAAAATTTGGAAAACTGGGAAGGGACATACAGAAGAATTCATAATATTCATAATCCATCAACCCGAGCTATCCCCTATCGTTCTGTTGTAATTTTAGTATTTTTGTTATTTCATATATATTATTACATATACGTATGTTCTCTTTCAAACTAGAATGCTTCATCCTGTAGACTAGATTTCCCTCTCAGTATCACGTCACGGGTTCTGGACAGTTAGGGACTACACATATATATAAAGCTCTCTAGCACATGCACAAATGATAACAAAGCATTCGCGTTTCTTGTTTATGTCATTTGTTGCAAACTTCTATCCACTTGGGTAGAAAAATAATTCTGTACTATGAAAAAAAATGTTACAGCCATGAGCTGAAATGGGAAACACAGAAAGATGACTTAAATGAAAGCAGGCTCCCCCTATTGACTTCAGACAATTAGCTGCTGACCGGCTGTGTGTCCCTTTTTTTTTTTGTTTTTTTGTTTTTTGTTTTTTTCTCTAACAAAGTTCATTACCCTAGGCTGCATACCTACATAGAATTCCTGTCTAGCTCCTGCCTTCAAGTAACTTCTATTCCCATACCTCGGTCTTTAGAAATGTTTAATATCCTAGCCAAACAGAGCCTGTTTCCTCAATGTCGGATTGGTAAAGGCGAAATTAAAACGAAGGAAGATTTTGAAGCCAACTCAATTTCCCTTGGCAACAGTTGAACCGTTCAAAAGTAGTGCACGTTTGAAATGCTCACAGCTGTTGCTTAGAACATTTCACATTTTGTAGAGTGAGGATTGTGCTTGCAAATTATGGATGTCTATAAAGACAATTCATTTCAAAGTCATTTCATTTTCTATAAAATAGCTGAGCAACTGAAATGAGCAGGTCTTTTTAATGTGGAAGCATCCTTGCTTATATGAGATTTGTTCTCTGGACCAGTAATTTCATAAGGAGATCCCAGGGGAAGTGGGTGTACTCTAAGGATAGTGCAAGGCAATCCACTTGCAATTCAGAAGGAAAAAATAATGAGGGCATCTATGTTCAAATTTAAAAGGCACTAAGCTCAATATTTTATATATAGAATGAAAGGTCCTGCACTCAGTCCGTGGAATGAACCATGGGCC